AAACCGGGGGTCAAAAAAGTTTTTATGTGAAAACGTTACGTCTTTAAATGTTTTAATATCATGAAATGGCGGGGCCCAGACCGCTAAAAACTTTCTGACTTTAACCCATGTTTTGAAACCCACGAGTTAAGTTTTACTGTTATTCATATTATCGGTCACCCCCCTCACCTACGATTTATTCCGGAAATATTCTCAACTTGTCTCCAAGTGAGAAAATGTCCTGTAAAGTTTCTTCCTCCCCTTTTTTTTGCTTTTGCAAAACATTTTAAAATTCTTATGCCAAAGTACGATTAACAAAAGAAAAAAGTAAAATTTGGGGAAAGGGGAAAGTTACTGTGTATATATTGTTTACATTAAACAAGTGGCAACAAAAGGCGCAATACCCCTGGAGGAAATTAATCACAGTTAATCCAAAAACGGGGGAGAGAGAACTGTAATTACGTCTCTTTCTGTATGAAAAATTATCATCTGAAAAAAACATTCAAAAAAAACCGAAACGTAAATGATTTTCCTCTTCTAACAGAAGTTTTAGTGAAACTTATATAAAGAAAATTTTTCAGCCCTCTTATTTATAGTTTTTAAAAAGCATATGCGGGGGTGTAGAGGGAGGGGTTGTTATGTATTGTTAACGTTGTGTCAAAGAAAGATGTAAAAACCATAAGGGCTTCACAAAAAACCAGAATCATCAAAAAACCTGCTAAAACAGAGTAACTTAATTATCATAGCATACAAAATATAGTAAAATATGCGAAAATCCCACAGTAAGAAAAAATAACTATGAAACACAAATATAATTTTTGAGTACGGGAAGAAACCCGAGCTCCCTGTCCTTTTTGCAATACCTCCCCGGAAACGACGCTAGGTCCCCCTGTGTAAAGGTCACTGTCTTAAAGGGTTTTTTTCCAAATTCCTGTTTTCTTTTTGGGGGAAAAAATTGTCTAATTTATTGGGACGGAGTTTATGAAGCAAAATTTTCGCTTTACCTGAATCAATTAGGAAAACGACTTTTTTTAGGAGTCATGGATTGTTATATAGCATTTTTTTTTGACTTAGTACAAACCTTTGGATATAATCAGGATGTACCGTTTTTTCTGACCTGTTTTTTATACGAAACTTCTTGCTCAAAGCGGCTTGGACAGCAAATCCTAAAATTCTTAGGAGTGACTAGACACCTTTCTTTCTTTTAATTTTAAGTGAGTGCGAAATAATTTGATGTTTTAGAAATTTTCGGAAAAATGAACTGGTTTTATTTTTCCTGCTAAGTTCCTGTCTTTCCCCGGGTATTCGTTGTTGTTCGGTTTAAAATTTCCCCTCACATTATTTCCCCTGGATTTTTCTTGTTCTTTGTTACCTTTTTCCCGGTGAAAAGTTTTTTTTTCAACTTAGTTTCCTTTTTTGGTTTCCTTTTTTATTTGCTTCCGAGGTGTTTACTTTCCCCCTTGTTGTGCCTCATAGTGTATTTTTTTGTGTTTCTCCCTTTCGGGTTTAATTCCCCTGTTTCTTTCTTTCCTTGTTGCTTTTTCAGTGTATATTCCCCTGTTCTTTTTTTCCTTGTTGCTTTTATCAGTGAAATTTTCCCCCCTGTTTTTTTCTTTCCTTGTTGCTTTTTCAGTGATGTTCTGTTTCTGCCTCTTTTTTCCTATTTTTTTTTTCTTTCGTGGGGTTTTAAGTGTTTATGAAATTATTAATTTCCATGCAAACTGTAAATAGTATTTATTGAAAGGGTATATAATTATGCATATTACCTTTGAAGATATTTTAACCAAGTGACTCCCCAACCCATTTTGGGGCGCAATTTTAATACAAAGTATCTATTGAACGTTTAAAACGTGCTGTGGGAAGAATACCTTGAGAATACCCTAAACTGAAAATTGGCTTGATCTTGTTTGGATGAAAAATAAGACGTTTTTAGCAACTGAAACATTGTACAAAAGTACGTCTGCAAAATAGGGGTTTTTCATTTTACTGCATTTTTAGTTTTTAAAACAAAAAAATAACTAAACTTGAGTCTCTTTCCACACAAGTCAACTTTGGGCCAGCCTGGCTAGGGAAAAAAAACAAAGCCTACACAGTGTTTAACCCGAATTTTAAAAGAAATACTAAAGCAAAGAACAAGACTTATGGTACTGGGGGGTTTTAAAATTTTATTAGAGCAAAAAATCACTACATAAAACACAGCACCCGGGGAACAGTAACAATGAGAGGAACAACCAGGTTGCAGGGAAGGTTTCGAAATCTTTTGGTCGGCCGATCGAGATTAACATGTTTTCGAAATTTTTTTAAAGAATTACTGTTTTTTGGTGTGTTTGTGGGTAGGTTTTTTGGATAAAAATTAAAATTCGGGGAAAAAAACAGTATAAGAAAGGTATTCTGGAAAATTTTTAAGGAATGGGTTGAAATGCTTTGGAAGACTAATGTTAGTGGGAACACTGTTGATTAAACACACTGGAAAAATTTGAAGTTCTTGGTGATATAGCAGATAAACCCTTTTTTATATCAGGTCAGCCAGATATCAACATCAAGAACAGTAAAACAAAAAGGTACACAAAACGCTTAAAATTTTGTTCAAGATAAAAGGATTTTCAGCCCTTTTCCAAACATTTAAACCAAGAACAAACACTGACTTACAGAAAGTACACTAAATAAAAGACAAGTACAGTAAATGTAAAAACGCCCTAAAATAAAAAGTACAGTAACACAGTAAAAGTATGACACACAAAAATAGTATATTCACATATAAATTTTTTATAGTAACACATAAGGAGTCATACACAGGGTATAGGACACATAAAACCTCAGGGAAGCATTTAAACATATAGTAACAAAAAAACAGTAAACTAGTAAAAAATAGTGACACATTAAAAACACATAAAAACACATACTGTAAACATAAAAAAAGTACAAGAACACAGAAGAAAAATATAACAACTCAAGAAAAATAAAAATTGCAAACACAAGACCAGTTCAGAACACAAAGACCGTACATAACACAGAAGAACGTACATAACACAAAAGACCAGTTCAGTAACACAAAGACCGTCAGGGAACACAAAACCATACAAACACAAAGACCATACAATAAACCCCCCCCCCAAGACCAGACGTAAACAGAATACCAGCACAGTAACACAAACCATACATAACACAGAAAACCCGTAAAAGTAACTTTGAAGACCAGTACAGTAACACAGAAAACCCGTACAGTAAACAAAAAAACAGAAATAACACAAGAAAATACAGTAAACCAGAAGAAGGGACAGTAACAAGAAGACCATTACAGTAACCAGAAGAAATACAGTAACACAGAAGAAGTACAGTAAACCCGTAACCAGAAGAAACAAAAAACAGCTAAAACGCCAGTACAGTAACAGAAGACCCGTACAGTAAACAGAAGACGAGTACAGTAACACAGAAGACCCCGTACGTAACACAGAAGAACTAAAGTACACAGAAGACCGTACAGTAACCCCGAAACATACAGTAACAAAAAAGACAAGTTCGTAACCACAAGACCCGTACAGTAACACCAAAACCATACAGTAACACAGAAGAACATACAGTAACACGAAGAAAGTACAGTAACCAGAAACCAGTAAGTAACACAAAAAACCAGTACAGTAACACAGAAAACCGACGTAACAAATTAAAACGTACAGTAACACACAAAACCATACAGTAACACGAAACCCTACAGTAACACAAGATCATACAGTAACACAGAAACCAGTCAGTAACACAGAGACCAGTGCAGTAACACAGAAGAAAAAGTCAGTAAAACACAGACATAAAGTAACAACGACCAGTGGAAAAAAAAGAAGAACAGTACGTACACAAAACAGTACGTAACACAGAAGACCAGTACAGTAACACAGAAGAAAAAATACAATAACACAGAAACCCCGTACAGTAACACAGAAGACCAGTCGTAAACAAAAACCAGTACAGTAACACAAAACCAGTACAGTAAAAAAAACCATACAGTAACACAAACACCATCAGTAAAAAAAAACACCGTACAGAACGCAAAGACTAGACATAACACAAGACCAGTACAGAAACAAAAAAAATCAGTACAGTAACACAAAGACCCGTACAGTAACACAAAACCAGTCAGTAACACAAAAACCATACAGAAAAACGAAAACCATACAGTAAACAGAAGACCCGTACATAACACAGAAAACCTTTCAGTAACCCAAAGACCTATGTAAAAAAAGACCAGTACAGAAAAACAAAAACCATTACAGTAACACAAACACCAGTACTAACACAAACACCAGTAAAATAACCAAATCCGTACAGTAACACAGAAACCCGTACAGTAACACAGAAAAACCAGTACTAACACAGAAAACCATACAGTAAAACAAAGCCATAAGTAACACAAAGCCAGTACAAACACCCAAAAACCAATACGTAACACAAACACCATACAGTAACACAACACCATACGAACCAAGATCATACAGTAACACAGAAACCAGTCAGTGACACAAAGACCACTGCAGTAACACAGAAAAACAGTACAGTAACACACATGACCAGTACAGTAACACACATGACCAGTACAGTAACACAGAAGAACAGTACAGTAACACAGAAGACCAGTACAGTAACACAGAAGACCAGTACAGTAACACAGAAGAACAGTACAGTAACACACATGACCAGTACAGTAACACACATGACCAGTACAGTAACACAGAAGAACAGTACAGTAACACAGAAGACCAGTACAGTAACACAGAAGACCAGTACCGTAACACAAAGACCAGTACAGTAACACAAACACCAGTACAGTAACACAAACACCAGTACAGTAACACAAACACCAGTACAGTAACACAAAGACCAGTACAGTAACACAAAGACCTGTACAGTAACACAAAGACCAGTACAGTAACACAAAGACCAGTACAGTAACACAAAGACCAGTACAGTAACACAGAGACCAGTACAGTAACACAAAGACCAGTACAGTAACACAGAGACCAGTTGTCATGCCCCTATGGTTAACCTTCCTTTAATATTACATTGCGGTCATTTCCTTTAATAGCTAAATTGGAAATGAACGTCCTTGTATTATTAAGATTAATTCTTATTAACAATTATAATTTATGTAACATGGCCATGATAAGTTTAATTGGAGCTATAGTAACCTGCCTGCCGCCCGGTGTGCCGGTGTGTAGTTAGCCGTGATGTTCGATGGTTATACCCCCCCTTCCCCCCCCTTTATGTTCAACTACTCTACTGAGTGTTGGTGAGTCACGTCACGTGACCCACTTTACCTGTATGCTCAAGGTTGAGGGACGAGCAGTGAAGAAGTAGCAGCCAACGAGAACACTCCTGCTCGTCTCTGGTAACTGGCCAAGATTTATTAGCCGGCCTGGACATATTCTGTTTTATTCTGACTGCTTCCAATTGGGAAAAAAGACTTTATACATTAAAGTATTCTCCATTTATATATATGTTATATCTAGGATCTCCTCCTAATCGTCTCTTTTGAAAGCCTTATGTATATGTTGGATACTACAGAAGAAACATGTATTCTTAACTTATATACGATAATTCGTATATTATAACTGGCTTTTGTTATATTATGAATATACTTAATTAAAATTAGGCATTCCGGAGGATTCATTATTATTACCCTAACCTCTCTGACCAAAATTGTTATGCTCTAAAAAGAAGGAAATAGTTGTTACAATACTTGGAGTGTAACAAGTGGGGGCCTGTGTCCGGGAGCATAACACTGAATTTCCTTTAAAATGAATGTAGAAATGGCAGAGAGGTTTGAAGATATAACAAAGGAGAAATTACAAAATTTGAAGCTTCAATCTTGTTGGCAATTAGCACGAAGCTTGGGCATAAAATACGACAGGCATTTCACTGCCCAACAGTCAGATGTATGATACAGAATGTCCTTTTTCCAGATGAGCAGGATCCAGAGATCGAGAATGGAGAAGCAGATATTCCTTCCTTTTTGAATTCTTTTCTACAGACGCCCGAGGCCGAAACTACGACGCTAACAACCCCTACTGGAGACGACGGACATGAACTTCCTGATACTCGGAAACGCTTCGCTGCTACAACGACTCCAATTCCATCTCCAAGGACTATATGGGGAACAGAACTCCATCAGGCTAAAGAAACGGATCCAGGTAAACCATTTACAGATAGTTTTGAAACAGAACAAGAAGTCCTTTTGGATGATGAACACGTTCCACCTCAAATCTCTTTAGCCCTTTTGACTACTATTCAATCTAAGGAGAATTTTGAACGTCTAGAACGTATTTTATTGCTTCAAACCTCCTTTGTAGAAGCCCAGAGAAAGTTAAAAAGGGAGAATTTTGAACGTGAAATCTTTGCTTTATGAACGGGAAGTACTGAGGAAGAAAAGAGAATCCAGTAATATGTATACAATCCCTTCATTTGACCTTGGTAAAGCAGCCTCTTTGATGCCTAAATTTACGGAGGAAATTTTAGATTCATTTTTTGAAGCATTCGAAAATCAGGCGAAGGTGATGCAATGGCCTCCTAAATATTGGGCTGCTTTAATACATTCATCTTAATAGGAAAAGCCCAACCATAACTGCCAACTTACCTTTTGAACAATATTCTGATTATACTCAGGTAAAAAGATTGTCTTCTGAAAGCTTATGATTTATTACCTGTCAGTTATTTGAAAATGTTTAGAACTCTGAAGAAATATCCTCAGCAGTCTTGGGTGGACTTTGCCAGGGAAAAGCTCTCTGCTTTCGAGCGTTGGCGTATGGCCGCGGGAGCCGCCTCAGTCGAGTCACTTTCCCAGCTGATGTTGCATGAAGATCTTTTTAAATATTTTCCAGAGAGGGTGCATACTTATCTTTTGACATTTCCCACTACTAACTTGTTAGATACTGCTGCCCACGCAGATCACTTTGAAATTTCCCATGCTATAACCACAGAAATGTCTAAGGCCCCGGAAAAGAAATCTACCTCCCAAGCTTTTAGTTCAAGATTGACGGCTAGGAAAGCTCCAGCTGGCGAACCTTTGAAGGTGTATTCAGACAAAAAACAGGTGACAAACGGCTCTTTCTTCAGACAGTATCCTAAAGATCAATTACCACTGTGCCTTTTTTGTAAAAAGTTAGGTCATAGACAGTCCCAGTGTTGGCATAAACAGCGGGAAGATAAAACCCAACCAAGAGGGAGGTATCCTACCCAGGTAATAAATTCCTCTCGGAAGTATGAAACTCGGGATGATGAATCTCTACCTTTTCAGGCCTCCTCTAGCAGACCGTCTAATAGATGACTTTACCACGACAGTGCTTCAGAAGAAAAGGTCCGAGTAGCTATGGAACCCTACTTTTCCCAGGGGAAGTTCGGACTCTGTAAAGAGAGGTTAAAAAATATCACGACCTTTCGAGATACTGGCAGCTATCTCTCTTTATTAAGATCAAACCTGGTAAAGTTACCTACTAGTAGAGAACCCCGGCTAGACGTATTATTAGAGGCTTACGGAGGCACAATAAATAAAGGTCCCTATTATAAGGATTTATGTAGAACTCCCTGGATATGTGGGCTGGATCAATGTGGGACTTTCAGATAAACCTTTTCCCATTGCCGCGTGGATCTATTAATCGGGAACGAAATTGATCAATTGGAGATACCCAGAGAGCCTCTGGTTTAGATAATCCTTGTGATGTAAATTATGCCTTAGAAGCCTCTGAGGCAGGGCTAGATTTATTTCCCCTTAATGTGGTCACCAGAGCCATGGCTAAGAACTCTAACAATTTGGATATTCAACAGCCTTTAGAAATGTCCGATGAATTAGGTTTGAACTTCCTGTTTAGCGAAAGCAATTCAGTCGAGACCCACAGGTGACAAAGTTTTACCAGTCCCTGCGGACCTAGCTAGAAAATGTAATAAAGAAGAATTTCTTATAGCTCTAAAGGACGATAAAAGTTTAACCAATAAGGATAAAGGGGAAGGTTACCTTTTAGATGAAGACGGTTTCTTTGGAAGAGAAATAATGATAATGATTTGAGTTCAAAAGGAAACTTGTTAGTGGTGCCATCGTCCTTACGTAATATGGTATTTGAACTAGCACATGATAATCCACTGGGAGGTCATTTAGATCTCGTAAGACAGAGAAAAAGATAAGGAAATATTTTTTTTGGCCTCAGATGAGGACTTATATTGCTGACAAACTACGGAAATGCCACGTTTGTCAAATAATAGGCAAAACGGCGCACAATCCCGCGTCTGCCCCTTTACTTCCAATAAAATGTCCTGAAGAACCTTTTGAAAGATTAGTTATTGATTGTGTAGGACCGTTGCCCCGCACAAAAAGGGTAACCAGTATATCTTCACCATCATAGATATGGCAAACTCGGTACCTGATGCTATCCCAATGTCCAAAATTAAATTCCAGAAATATATAAGAGCTTTAATACGCTTCTTTGCTCAAGTAGGCATACCACGTGAAATTCAATCTGACCAAGGTTCTAATTTTACGTCTAAGGTTTTTAAAGAGGCTATGTCTCGATTAGGAGTAAGACAGATCCTCTCTACAGCATATCATCCCCAGTCACAAGGAGTGCAGAAAGATTCCACCAAACCCTTAAATCTACTTTACTGCTTACTGTGAGCAATATTCTCGTGAATGGACGAAGGTTTACCCTTTCTTCTCTTCGCCCTCCGTGAAGCTGAACAAGAAAGTACTAAATACTCTCCATTTGACTTGATTTTTGGACATCAGGTGCGAGGACCCCTAGCCATATTACGAGATTCTTGGATAGGGAAGAGAGGACCCTCTTCACCCAGTCCTCTACTTTGGAAAGAACCTCTCTCCAAATTAAAAAGCTTAGCTGCCGTGAATCTGTCAGAAGCTCAAGCCAAAATGAAGAAATCTTATGACCAAAAGGCTAAATCTCGTTCATTCTCTCCGAATGAATTAGTGTTAGTTAAAAACTTAATTCCAGGACATTCTTTAAAACCTAGATATTTGGGGCCATATGAATAGTAGACAAAGAAAATGAGGTGAATTATCTGGTCCGTGAACCAGGACGTCGTAAGAAAATTAAGAGGTATCACATAGATAACTTAAAGAAGTACGAGTCTAGCTTCCTCCCCTACTATTATTACCTCTATTCAACCTACATCCACTGAAATAAGGAATGACACTGTAAGGGAAGTAAGAGAATTTAGACTACATAATTCTGAAGTTTTAAAAGAACTAGACCATTTCCTGGAAGTTCTTCCTACCTCCCAAAAATCTCAAATCAAAGAGTTAATCACTAAATATAACTCCATCTTCAAAGATATTCCTACTCCTTGTACATTAGGTTTCCACGATATTGAATTGTTAGAAGATAGCCCAATAAAGCAATCCCCTTACCGGGTCTCTCCTGCTAAGCAAGAATTAATTCAACAAGAAATAAATACATACTGGAATATAATTTGATAGAACCCAGTTGGACACCTTGGGCCTCTCCCTGTTTATTGGTCCCAAACCCGATGGTACCGTACGCCTATGCACGGATTACCGTAAAGTAAATTCAGTCACCAAACCAGATGGGTTTCCATTACCCAGGATTGATGATTTAATAGATGCTGTAGCCGGTGCCAACTTTGTGACCAGATTAGACTTGCTGAGAGGGTATTACCAGGTGCCATTAACTCCTAGGGCCCAAGAGATTTCCGGGTTCGTAGTTTAAGAACGGACTATTTACGTATAAGGTTATGCCTTTCGGCTTGTGTAACGCCGCCTCCTCTTTCCAGAGAATTATGAACATTTTAGTCCAACCCTTAGAAGGTTGTAGAGGCATACTTAGACGACCTGGTGGTTTTTAGTGATGACTGGCAGTCTCATTTAGAAAGATTAGAGCAACTACTGAAAGCATTGCAGAAATACAATTTCACTGTAAATTTACAAAAATGTGACTTTGGTAAAGCCCAGATTAAATATCTCGGTTTTAAAATAGGGAAGGGACTAGTAGCCCCCGACCAATTAAAGGTCCAAGCTATTTTAAATTTCCCGTCTCCCCCAAGACAGGAAAGCCCTCCAACGATTTTTGGGAATGGCTACTTATTACAGGCGTTTTTGCCCAAACTTTGCTCAAGTTGCCTCCCCCCGACTAGATTGACCAGTCCTAAATATAAATTTAATTGGGACGAGAATTGTGAACAAGCTTTTAAACGTTTAAAACGTTTCCTTTCCTCTGCCCCAGTATTGCGTGCACCCAATTTCCAAATTCCTTTCACCCTCCATGTTGATGCCAGTGATGCAGCTATAGGTGCTGTCTTATGCAATCCTTCCAAAACGGTAATATTCTACATCCAATATGTTATTTTTCCTATAAATTAAAAGAATATCAAAGATCTTATTCAACTATAGAAAAAGAAGCCCTGGCTTTAGTGTTGTCCTTAGAACACTTTGAACGTATACCTCGGTTATACTCCTCATGTGATAAATATTTACTCAGACCATAATCCTCTAACTTTCATAAATTCTATGAAATCAAAAAATGTTAGAATATTACGCTGGGCTTTAAGGATCCAACCTTACCGGATCTCCATTTTTCACATAAAGGGTTCGAGCAACGTGTTAGCCGATGCTCTCTCTCGCTCCTAATATGGCTTAACTACGGAAATTCTTTGCAGTCAAGCAGTTTCTGGACCAGTTCTAGCAAGTGGATGACTAACCTTGGAATGATGTACCTCCATCCCTATACCAGCTGGTTGGTTTCTTCTACTCCATCAGCATCTTAAACGCCGAGAATATTTGCTTGTGGGCCGGGGTGTCATGCCCCTATGGTTAACCTTCCTTTAATATTACATTGCGGTCATTTCCTTTAATAGCTAAATTGGAAATGAACGTCCTTGTATTATTAAGATTAATTCTTATTAACAATTATAATTTATGTAACATGGCCATGATAAGTTTAATTGGAGCTATAGTAACCTGCCTGCCGCCCGGTGTGCCGGTGTGTAGTTAGCCGTGATGTTCGATGGTTATATCCCCCCCCCCTTCCCCCCCCCCTTTATGTTCAACTACTCTACTGAGTGTTGGTGAGTCACGTCACGTGACCCACTTTACCTGTATGCTCAAGGTTGAGGGACGAGCAGTGAAGAAGTAGCAGCCAACGAGAACACTCCTGCTCGTCTCTGGTAACTGGCCAAGATTTATTAGCCGGCCTGGACATATTCTGTTTTATTCTGACTGCTTCCAATTGGGAAAAAAGACTTTATACATTAAAGTATTCTCCATTTATATATATGTTATATCTAGGATCTCCTCCTAATCGTCTCTTTTGAAAGCCTTATGTATATGTTGGATACTACAGAAGAAACATGTATTCTTAACTTATATACGATAATTCGTATATTATAACTGGCTTTTGTTATATTATGAATATACTTAATTAAAATTAGGCATTCCGGAGGATCATTATTATTACCCTAACCTCTCTGACCAAAATTGTTATGCTCTTAAAAGAAGGAAATAGTTGTTACAATACTTGGAGTGTAACACCAGTACAGTACAGTAACACAGAAAACCAGTTCAGTAACAAAAGACCAGTACAGTAACACAAGAAAAGTACAGTACTACAGAAGAATAATACAGTAACACAGAAGAACAGTAAAGTAGAGGTGGCTGGGTTTATGCAATACGGGGATAACTTTCTGAGATTGTGCAGCGACTGAAATGTGTCTAGTTGTTTCAGTGTTATCTGGTAAGTCCATTATGTTGTTCCTCCTTACGTTAATGAACAATATGAACAATGCTACTGTTTGTATTTTTGTTAATGTTAACTCCGGTGAATGAACACGAATAAGAACGTTACCGTGACTCCCATCAGGGAGGCTGGAGTGGGAATAACACCGTGACTCCCATCAGGGAGGCTGGAGTGGGAATAACACCGTGACTCCCATCAGGGAGGCTGGAGTGGGAATAACACCGTGACTCCCATCAGGGAGGCTGGAGTGGGAATAACACCGTGACTCCCATCAGGGAGGCTGGAGTGGGAATAACACCGTGACTCCCATCAGGGAGGCTGGAGTGGGAATAACACCGTGACTCCCATCATGGAGGCTGGAGTGGGAATAACACCGTGACTCCCATCAGGGAGATATGAGTGGGAATAACACCGTGACTCCCATCAGGGAGGCTGGAGTGGGAATAACACCGTGACTCACATCAGGGAGGCCGGAGTGGGAATAACACCGTGACTCCCATCAGGGAGGCTGGAGTGGGAATAACACCGTGACTCCCATCACGGAGGCTGGAGTGGGAATAACACCGCCGTGACCCTGTCAGGAGGCGGAGTGGGAAAAACACCCCCGTGACCTCTGACTAAAAAATTTAGCTAAGCTAACGCTAAACCGCTAATTCATTTTCACCTGTATGTGCATGACAGTATCTTTGTTATTTCAAGTAAAGACTCACGAAATGCAGCTATAGTAAAAACACTGGAAATGAATCCTGAAGCAAATGGTGGATGCTAGAAAAATGTTAATTGAATGTTGTTTTTAGGAATGTTGAGTCGTGAAAATTAATTGGCTTGGGGTGAATTATAATTATGTGGGGAGACACTGTTGTGGAAGGTACAGTGGGAAAGTTTGAAGTGCTTTGATGTAAATAATAATGTGAAGCTTTACCTCACTCGTCAGCAACACAGCAAGCATGGTCAGTATACAAGAACAGTAAAGTCATGCAGAAAAACGGTACGGCAACACGCAAGGATGCAAAATGGAACACTGTGAACCATTAACTAATATTTTTAATTTCTCTCTTCAAACAGGAGTAGTGTCTGATATGTGGAAGATGGCTAATGTAATTCCTATTTTTAAACAGGGACAAGTCGTTACCGTCAAATTACCGCCCAATAAGCCAGACCTCAATTGTAGGCAATTACTATGAGTCAATTTATAAGCTGAGATTATAATAAGCCATCTCGATAAGCAAGCTTTGATAATGATACTCACATGGATTCACGAAGAGGCGTCTTTTCTAACTAATTTCTTAACTTTCTCAGTAAAGCTTTTGAGCTGTTGACCCGATAAAAGAATAATATTAATTACTTAGATTTTATGTAAGGCTTTTGATAGAGTTCGCACCATAGACTGTTAAAGAAAGTGGCAGCTCATGTCATTGGGGAAAAGCTCTCGTGATCGAGTCATGGCTCATTGACAGAACACAGAGTGTCCATAAATGGGTTAAATCCGATGGGGATCTGTGACAAGGTGCGGTTCCACAGGGATCAGTCTTGGGCCCGTTGTGTTTATAAATATATATCAATGATCTTGACGAAGGGAATTACTAGTGATATTAGCAAATTTCGCCGATGACACAAAGATAGGTAGGATAATTTTGGGGGGGATTCAAACGTAGATTCATTATGGGAACTTCCAGGAGGATTTTAAACAAACTCGATCTTGCAGAAAAGTGGCAGATGCAGTTCAATTGTAGATAATGCTAGGTTCAGAAGCTTGGGATGCCCAATAACCCTAGTACTTATAAGTTAAAGATGTAGAAACACTTCGCATACAGCTTGTGAAAAGGACTTGGAGAGGTTTTATGGTGAGCAAACAACCTTAAACCAAGACAGCAGTGCCATAAGCATACGTAATAAGGCAAATAGATTACTGGGATTTATATTCAAGAAGTGTAAGCAACAGAAGTAGAGGTCATACTGCAGCATTATACTCATTAGTAAGGCCTCACCTAGATTATGCAGCTCAGTTCTGCCATCCAAATTACAGAAGGGACATAATATTCGTTAGAAAACATTCAGCGTGAATGACTATATTAATACATAGCATTAAAAAAATCTTCCTTATCAAGAAAGATTGAAGACGCTTAAGTTACATACACTTGTTGACGAAGAATGAAGGGGGGAGACCTGATTCGAAGTGTATAAGTGGAAGATAGGTATTAATAAAGGGGATATTAATAAGTCTTGAGGATGTCTCTCCAAGAGAGAACACCGCAGTAATGGATTTAAAATTAGTAAGTTTAGATTTAGAAAGGAACATAGGAAAGTTATTGGTTTGGAAATAGTGTAGTAGATGAGTGGAAACAGTCTACCTAGTTGGGTTATGGAGCTGGGACCTTTGGGTAGTTTCAAATTTAGGTTGAATAAGTACATAGTGGGAGGTGTTTTGGGATTTGAGTGGGACTTCACATCAGAGCTTATTTCTTGGGTAGCATTGAAAATTGGGTTGGGCAAATGTTTTTGTTAGTGGGATTGAATTGTAAGGACCTGCCTAGTATGGGCCAACAGGCCCCTGCAGCAGTGCTCCCCTTTCTTATGTTCTTATGTTAACAGTGGATAATCTTAAATACAACAGGAAAATTACTACTGTAAAATGAAGGACTGCATACTAACACATAAATATAGTGTATGTGTATTGCCTGTTGATTATCTACAAGGAATGAATATGTCAAGATTGTTGATTGATCGAGTGACGGAAAACATCAAAAATAAATAATGAAGAACTGTCTATAAAAGGTACCCTCACAATAACAATAGAACAACACAAAACTGTACAGTACAGTAACACACAAGAACAAAACTGTAACACATAAGAAAAATACAGTAACATACAGCAGAACTGTACATGCAGTAATAAATTACACACAAGAACAACAAGAGACAAACTATAAAATAAGGGAAGAGTAGAGCAAGATAACAGTAATACATAAAACAGCAATATTGAAGCATTAAGACAGAGTTGTACTGGCCAGGTTGTAACATCAACATCAACAATCACTTTTGTCGAAGGTTTACTCTCCCATTTGTACATCTTATTTTCTTTCTTTATTGTGTTTGTGAATTTTTTCTCAATATATGGAAGTTGAGAGAAGTGAAGACCGGGAAAAATTAAAATAAAGTAATAATTCACAAGATGTTTTCTGCTATATCCAGTAACAAGACTCTCTCAACTGTTACTTCCTAATATCTTCATATTTATCATTAAGGATATCTAGAAAATACTATGTAACAGCATTCGAAATCCCGATTATTCAGATTCTATTAAAATATATAATATAATTTAAATCCAAACCTGGAAATCACATATCACTACACAACACTAAAACACTGCAACATCATCACAGACATACACAAAATCGACAAATCATTACTGCAAATCACAAACACCGCAAACCATAGATCATAACTATAGTTATCAATTAGGAGGTAATTTATCTCGAATTTTGTTATAGTGTGGTGAACCAGCAGGTCCCTCAGACTTACACTCTAATATACTATAGAGCAGATACACTTTATAAGGAGAGGTGTGTCTAGAATGTCTGTGTGAAGAAGTACGACCATATGTCATGAGAAGTTTTTGCACACATGTAGTTACACAGGGGTTGGAAATATTAAGTATTATACGTGTGCCGGGCAAATGTGTTATATATATATCTAGAGTCTGGTCCAGACGGGCCTGCGGTCGTTGACCCCCGAAATTCCCCTGTATATTATCCACAGTGGAACGAGAAGAATTGTGTGTGTGTGTGTGTGTGTGTGTGTGTGTGTGTGTGTGTGTGTGTGGTGTGTGTGTGTAATTTGTGTACTTGCTGTTTACTTGTGGACATTTCAGTAACTTGCAAATATATAAAAAGACGAAGCTCCACAAAAAAGGAAACGGATGACAGTTTTGAAGCAGAATTCTTGGTGGGAAGAACAGAGTCACATACGGACACAATATAAACAATAATTGTAAACACAACAAAAATAATGAACAGCTTTTGTCCCAGTTTTGTTTCTGAACAGTTACAACTGCTGGACACAGTCTTATAACAACGCAAAATATTGTTTTTAAGTGGGAGACACTGTTGTGGAGATGTAGGAAAGTACAGGATTCAATAAAGAACTTATCCACACACACACACACACACACCACACACACACACACACACACACACCACACACACACACACACACACACACACACACAAACACACACACACACACACACAACGCACACACACGCAAATACACATTATATAAAATATATATAATATATATATATATATATAATATATATATCTATATATATATAGATATATATTAATATATATCATGTAAATATATACATAATTTGTATGTGTGTGGAATGTGTGTGTGTGTGTGTGTGTGTGTGTGTGTGTGTGTGTATGTGTGTGTGCGCGCGTTTGTGATTGCATTCATATTAGTGTAAGAGGTTGATGAGTGTTTTTTTATACATGTTTGTGTGTGCGTGCAGTTGCGTTGTTTTGTGCGTGTATGAATGATGGTGACCACGCAGGCTGCCGTTGCACAAATGTGCAAATGAGAGTGAAAATAAGAGTGTGTGTAAGTTTTTTTAGGTACAGATTATACATAAATATTACACAAATGATCATGCAAAGTAACATATGCGTAAATTACCCAGGATAACCTAAAAAGTCAGACAAAGTTATATATTTCCATTGTTTGTAACTCACTGCTCGTCTTGCGAATATATAGCATAAATAAACAAATGAAAATAAAAAGTTAAACACTTATTACAGTTCTCGTGGAGTGGACAAACACACTAACAAAACGAGCACTCAAAACACACACAAAAACATTCACAAACACACTTGAACTGCTAATTAAGTAAAAAATTTTAATATTAAAATGTAGAAAAATTGTATAATTAAATAGAACTCCCAAATTTTCACTGAGTGACCAGGCCTTGGTGGTCGAACTGGACGGTAGCTTGGCTGCGTCTGGCTGATCTACGGTCTAGACTGTCTTGGTGGGTGTATTTACAGGACGCAGTTTCTGTGTGTCCCCTCCTGTAATTCCACTCACCTGGACAGTCTCTACCGTAGACCAGCTAAACAAGGCCTCGTTCTCATCTGGCTAGATCACGGAGGGATACATAACCTGGGGAAGGCTGAGGCTGGAAGATATCCTAAGGGAAGTGAGGAAGGGGAGACATCCGGGGGCCCACGGATGGATTCCTGGACACATGGACCTGGGAAAGGCAAGGATACCTTGTGGAAGTGGGGAAGGGGGAATATCTGAGGCGGACAGATGGACTCCTGGACCTGTGAAAGAAGGAGATACTGGTTGCTAAGGCAGACCCTGGGAAAGTGGGGAAGGGAGAACGTCTGAGGGGACACGGGTGGACTCCTGGACACATGGACCTGGGAAAGGCGAGAGCACCTTGGGGAAGTGGGGAAGGGGGGGGGAGGAATATCTGAGGCGGACTCCTGGGAAAGAAGGAGATACTGGTTGCTAAGGCAGACCCTGGGAAAGTGGGGAAGGGAGAACATCTGAGGGGACACGGATGAACCCTGACACACATGGACCCTGGGAAAGGCGAGACACCTGTGGGTGAAGTGGGGGGGAATATCTGAGGCGGACTCCTGGGAAAGAAGGAGATACTGGTTGCTAAGGCAGACCCTGGGAAAGTGGAGAAGGGAGAACGTCTGAGGGGACACGGGTGGACTCCTGGACACATGGACCTGGGAAAGGCGAGAGCACCTTGGGGAAGTGGGGAAGGGAAGGGGGGAATATCTGAGGGGAACTCCTGGAAAAAAGTGAATACTGGATGCAAGCAGACCCTGGGAAAGTGGGGAAGGGAGAACAACTGAGGGAACCACGGATGGACTCCTGTACACATGGACCTGGGCAAGCGAGAGCACCTTTGGGGGAAGTGGGGGAGGGGGGAATATCTGAGCGGACTCCTGGAAAGAAGGAGATACTGTTGCTAAGGCAGACCCTGGAAAGTGGGGAAGGGAGAACATCTGGGTGACACGGATGTCCTCCTGGACACATGGACCTGGGAAAGCGAGAGCAACCTTGGGGAAGTGGGGGAGGGGGAATATCTGAGCGGACTCCTGGGAAAGAGGAGATACTGGGTCTTGCGTAAGGCAGACCCTGGGAAAGTGGAGAAGGGAGAACGTCTGAGTGGGACACGGATGGACTCCTGGACACATGGACTCTGGAAAGCGAGAAGCACTTGGGGAAGTGGGAAAGGGGGGGGAATAACGTAGGCGGACCCTGGGAAAGAAGGATATAACTGGATGCTAAGGCAGACCCTGGGAAATGTGGAAGGAGAACATCTGAGGGAGCACGGATGGACTCCTGGACACATGGACCTGGGAAAGGCGAGAGCACCTTGGGGAATGTGGGGAAGGGGGGGAGGAATATCTGAGGCGACCCTGGGAAAGAAGGAGATACTGTTGCTAAGGCAACCCTGGGAAAAGTGGGGAAGGGAGAACATCTGAGGGGACACGGATGAACTCCTGGACACATGGAGCCTAGGGAAAGGCGAGAGCACCTTGGGGAAGTGGGGAGGGGGGAATATCTGAGGCGGACTCCTGAAAGAAGGAGAAACTGGTTGCCTAAGGCAGACCCTGGAAAGTGAGAATGGGAGAACGTCAGAGGGACAAGGATGGAGACTCCGACACATGACCTGGAAAGGCGAGAGCACCTTGGGAAGTGGAAAGGGGGGGGAATATCTGAGGCGGACTCCGGGGGGGGGGGGGGGGGGGAAATAAGGAGATACTGGTTGCAAGGCAGACCCTGGGAAAGTGGGGAAGGGAGAACATCTGAGGGGACACGGATGGACTCCTGGACACATGGACCTGGGAAAGGCGAGAGCACCTTGGGGAAGTGGGGAAGGGGGAGGAATATCTGAGGCGGACTCCTGGGAAAGAAGGAGATACTGGTTGCTAAGGCAGACCCTGGGAACGTGGGGAAGGGAGAACATCTGAGGGGACACGGATGGACTCCTGGACACATGGACCTGGGAAAGGCGAGAGCACCTTGGGGAAGTGGGAAAGGGGGGGGGGAAATATCTGAGGCGGACTCCTGGGAAAGAAGGAGATACTGGTTGCTAAGGCAGACCCTGGGAAAGTGGGGAAGGGAGAACATCTGAGGGGACACGGATGGACTCCTGGACACATTGACCTGGGAAAGGCGAGAGCACCTTGGGTAAGTGGGGAAGGGAAGGGAGGGAATATCTGAGGCGGACTCCTGGGAAAGAAGGAGATACTGGTTGCTAAGGCAGACCCTGGGAAGTTGGGGAAGGGAGACATCTGAGGAGGACACGGATGGACTCCTGGACACATGGACCTGGAAAGGCGAGAGCACCTTGGGGAAGTGGGAATGGGAAGGTAGGGAATATCCTGAGGCGGAACTCCTTGGAAAGAAGGAGATACCGGTTGCTAAGGCAGTTCCCCTGGAAAGTGGGATGGGAGAACTTCTGAGGGGAGCACGGATTGGACTCCTGTGACACATGGAACCTGGGAAAGGCGAGAAGCACCTTGGGAAGTGGGGGAGGGAAGGGGGGAAGATCTGAGCGGACTCCTGGGATAGAAGGAGATACTGGTTGCAAATGCAGACCCTGGGAAAGTGGGGAGGAGAACATCTGAAGGGACACGGATGGACTCCTGGACACATGAACCTTGGAAAGGCGAGAGCCACCTTGGGAAGTGGGGAAGGGAAGGGGGGAATACTGAGTGCGACTCCTGGTGAAAGAAGAAGTACTGGTGCTAAGGCAGACCCTGGAAAGTGGGGAATGGAGAAACATCTGAGGGGACACGGATGGACTCTGGACACATGACCTGGAAAGAAGGAGATACTGTTGCTAAGCAGACCCTGGGAAAGTGTGAAGGGAGAACATCTGAGGGGACACTGATGACACCTGGACACATGGACCTGGGAAAGGCGAAAGCACCTGGGGAAGGGGGAAGGAAGGGGGAATTTATCTGAGGCGGACTCCCTGGGATAGAAGAGATACTGGTTGCTAAGGCAGACCCTGGGAAGTGGGGGAGGGAGAACATGTGAGGGGACACGGATGGACTCCTGGACATCATTGGACCTGGGAAAAGGCGAGAGCACCTTTGGGAAGTGGGGAATGTATGGGGGGAATATCTTAGGCGGACATCCTGGGATAGAAGGAGATACTGGTTGCTAAGGCAGACCTGGAAAGTGGGGGAAGGGAGAACATTGAGGGGACACGGATGGACTCCTGGACACATGGACCTGGGAAAGGCGAGAGCACCGTTGGGGAAGTGGGGAAGGGAAGGGGGTAATATCTGAGCGGACCTGGGAAAGAGATACTGGTTAGCTAAGCAGACCCTGGGAAAGTGGGAAGGGAGAAACATCTGAGGGAACACTGATGGACTCTGGACACATGGACCAGGAAAGGCGAGAGCACCTTCGGGAAGTGGGAAGGGAAGGGGGGGATAATCTGAGGCGCACTCCTGGGAAGAAGGAGAATACTGGGTTGCCTAAGGAAGACCCTGGGAAAGTGTGGAAGGGAGAACATCTGAGGGGACACGGATGGACTCCTGGACACATGGACCTGGGAAAGGCGAAAGCACCTTGGGGAAGTGGGGAAGGGAAGGGGGGGAATATCTGAGGCGGACCCTGGGAAAGAAGGAGATACTGGTTGCATAAGGCACACCTGGAAAGAGGGGAAGGGAGAACATCTGAGAGGACACGGATGGACTCCTGGACACATGGACCTGAGAAAGCTGTGAGGGGACACAGATGGACTCCTGGACACATGGACCTGGAAAGGCGAGAACACCTTGTGGAAGTGGGAAAGGGGGAATATCTGAGGCGGACTCCTGGAAAGAATGGAGATCGGTTGCTAAGGCAGACCCTGGAAAAGTGGGGAAGGGGAACATCTTAGGGGACACATGACCTGGAAAGCGAAGAACACCTTGTAGAAGTGGGAAAGAGGATATCTGAGGCGGACTCCTGGGAAAGAAGGAATACTGGTTGCTTAGGCAGTCCCCTGGAAAAGTTGGGGAAGGAGAACATCTGAGGGTACACAGAATGGACTCTGAACAATGGACCTGGAAGGCGAGAACACCTTGGTGAAGTGGAAAGGGGAATATCTGAGGCGACTCTGGTAGAAAGAAGGAGATACTGATGCTAAGGCAGTCCCTGGAAAGTGGGGAGGGAGAAATCTGAGGGGACTCGGATGGACTCCTGGACACATTGAACCTGTAAAGGCGAGAAACCTTGGAAAGTTGGGGAAAGGGGGAATATCTGAGGGGACACAGATGGACACTGACATCAAGGACCCTGAGGAAAGCATCAAAAACACATAAGTGGATGGTGGACCGGTAATGACGAACCACTGGCCTCCACGTGGCAAGGTCCTGGTAACTATAGAGATAACTCTGATGCTGACAGGTTTCAGTTGTCGCAAATAATAATGACTAATAAGATTTCTTATAAACAGACATGTAATATTTAACATTTATCATTTGGCAGCTTTAAAAAGGAAATGTTTTGGGCTCGACCCGGTTTATCAATTTATTAAAACATCCTTTACTGCCATCTAAAAACAAATTTAGGATATTTTTTATTTTTTTACATATGAAAGGGGGGGGGAGGGGGGGAAAAAGGCGATTATTAAATAAAGGAATCCGTATTAGCAGAAAATGTTGGGACTTGATTTCCTTTACCTTGACTTCACTCTCGAGACTTTAATAAAAAAAAAACAGAGAAAAGGCATGAACAGCTGTAATCACGACCTGAAAGAGTGAGAACACCAGAGATCGTCCGCCAACAATCTACTACAGTAACTTTTGAGGAAGGTGTCCTCGCCCGATGAAGAGATCTTGATCCTCTTCCTCTTTCGAATCTGTTTTCTTCTATCCATCAACAATCATTAACAATAATCTTCCCGACAATAAACATTAACCACCAGCTATCGAATGAAATATGATGTTATCACATTATTATTATAATCAAGGGAACGCTAAACCAGGAGGATTATACAGCGCCTGGGGGGGATGTGGAAGGCATTCAGGCTTAATTCGGGGAACTGGAGCACAGATCCAATTCCCTAAATCAAGAGCCCCTCACCAACATCAAGGAACCTTTGAGGGGAAGTTATCACAAAAACCAAATTTTTTTTTATTTACCATGGGAATTTTAAAAGGGGTTAAGAATGAAAC